TGAAGATGGCTAAGGACTCAGCTGCTCGGATTGATTTGGGCAGGTCATTCCACCAGAAGGGAACAGTTAATGTAAAAGTCTGTGAAAGTGATTTTGTGCCTCTTTGGGGTGGCACAATAATGCACCATTCACTTGCAGAACACAAGCTTCTAGAGGACACATAAGTCTGAAGTAATTAATTTAGGTAAAGGGGTGCAGAGCCAGTGGTGGTTTTGTAGGCAAACATTAATGAAAGTAAATTAATAGATTTCAGCACAGCCAATCACTTGTTTTGTTACTGAATGAATGAATGAATGAATGAATGAATGTTATTTTGAACTATAGTTGAATGAATAACTAAATGACTCATTAAGACGGTCACGTGCTGCCTACTTGCGTAACAATGTAGCATGCCGAAAAAGTCAGTGAAATATCTCCACCACTAATACAGATTGAAAGTCTGTTTGGAACATGCAAACACTGACAAGTGGAATGTTTAATAATGTTAATTTAAATACAAAGAATCATAAAATGACAAGGGTTCACAGATGGTATTAAGCTACACTCTAAAAAAATGCTGGGTTAAATATAACCCAGCGCTGGGTTAAAACATCCCAATAGCTGGGTTAAAACAACCCAATAGCTGGGTTTGTCCCTTTTTAACCCAGCGCTGGGTTATATTTAACCCAGCATTTTTTAGAGTGTAGTCACTAAGCTACTTATTTCACTTCCATGGGTCTACCATGGTGTTTTGAACATGTCCCATGGTAGACCAATGATATTCCTTGAATTACCAAGAAGTACAATATAAATACTATGAATATTGCAATCCAAATTCAATACCATGGTAGTTTAAATCTTTATAAGGCTGTATCATACCACATTTGGCCAGCACTATGGTATAATCAAAGTATAATGGCAAAGCCTTCTGTGAGGCAAATCACGTTAAGGTTATGCAATGTGTGGAATATCTGAATATCGTCATATTGATCTTCTTTTCTTTTCTGATGCAACCTTTACACCAGTTCAGTTTGTCAGCAATACATTAGCAAACTGGGATGAGGTGCTATTGACTTGAATAGCCATTTAATCATTTTAACTGAAAGCAATAGGCCTACATTTGTATTTATTTGGCAATCTTAAAAGTACAGTTAATAACCATATAGCTCAGTCTAAGGTTTCTAATTCAAAGGCTGATGATTAATACAAAATTCGACATATTTCTGTCTTCTAACTGCTGTAATATCTCTCTCCTTTTTTTGTTTTCTTTTTTAAGGTAGGCTACAGAACTGGATTAGCCCTATAAATTGTAGTCACTAATCTAGCTACTTTGTTATGGTTCAGAGTAACATGTATTTGTTTGAAGAAATAAAGAATTCGTCTGTCTATGCACAATCAGCTTGTAACACTCCAAAGAGAAAGGAAAACTTGAAATCGCATCATATGACCCCTTTAAACAATTTTATGAATCACGTGCATTGGGTTGCACTTGGCTAGTTACGTTTATGGGGGAAAACTACATTTCCCATGATGCCCGCACACGACGTCATGCCCGCGTCCGCTCCCTCTTGACGCACAATATGCGTCACCGTAGTAACTGGCCGATCCACTGCTGCTGTGTCGATTAGCGCTGGAGAGGCGGAAGGGGCTGAGGGTTTCTGTTATTATCGGTAACAGTTATCCGAGTCCACCTGTGTTTTAGTCATAGTGCGGACTGGACGACGCGATATTGTGGCGGAGAGCCCCTGCTAAAGCGCCGAGATGTTGAATATGTGGAAAGTCAGGGAGTTGGTGGATAAAGCGTGAGTATGCCCGGGCTTTTGCTTTCTAAAGAGCTTGTGTGTCGATGCAGAGGCCCGTTACTTGTAAAGGTGCGGATCCCGTGACGTCACACACCCTCAGCTGATCACGAGCGCCACACGATTAATATAACATTATGATCTCTTTTATTTCACTATTTTCAACCTCTTTATGACCCCTTCCCGATCATGTGTGTTCTACTATCAAATTTACATAATTCCACGCTGTTCTGCACGCGTGTTTTTTTTTTCTTGGCTGTTTCAAACCCCAGTGAGTTGCCTACCTAGGCAGCATCTTTGGGTAACGTTACGACAGGAGCGTGCAGCAATTTGGGCATAATAGGCGCGTTTTCCTTGCCTATAATGCTCTCAAAATGTTGACTAGGCAGACAGCTCACCAAGTTTACAGATATAATCTTCTTACCTATTCATTCTTCTTGTCAACAGTGTTATCCTGCTAAAGTATCTTAGTAGTCAGCAGCACATGAGCTTGAACGGTCTCTGACAGCATTTCTCCTTATCTTATGTACAGTCACATATGTTTTATTTGTGTGTTTGTGTGTATAATGTTGAAGAATGTGTTGAATGGTAAACAGTTAACCGGTTACAGACCCCGTTATACATGCTAGCTAATTAGCCTATTAGCTTAGCTAAAGTCACCATTATAAATTCGTATGGGGAATAGATAACGGTATCGCTCAACCTTAACGTCACAACACAGACTTTGATTATATCAGATTTGACGATATAACTGTCATCCCTAAAATTACGACGCCAAAATGACCTTAGTATCACTTTATACTCTGTGGGCCTTGTTTTCCTCCATCACGTTAACGTTAGGTGGTCTTTTCAGTCAGTTTAATCCTTCAACTGTTTTATTTTACAAGTGATGGCAGAACTTTGTGATTCAAATTGATGAGAAACATCAATATTAGTATTGATTTTAAAACTAAACATGATCTTATTAGGGTGAGAACTGTATTTTACTTCTTAGTTAGCCTAATGAAACACTGGGTGTCTTTTCACAGAAAGTTTCCAAAAAGTTAGTGCATGGCTATGTGCTTTTCTTGGTCACAAATTTTTTAAACAATAAAGAAACAATTTATTTATATATAACATTTAAGTAGCAGGTTATAGTGGGAAGAGGAAAATGGTTAGCATTGATTCATTGCATTTTTTTTCAGTTTTCATTTGCTTTATTTCACAAAGTGTATACTTGGAAATCTATGCAATTTCATTATGTAAATCAATCCTTTTTCACAATATTTACACAGAAATAGTGCATTATTCACCAACAAGGCTGTTGATTGACTAGCCAGCAAAAGAATGGTTCACTTACTCTGCAAAATAAGCACAATTATTGGTCAAAGTGATAATCTCAAAATGGTCAACAATCATTCATTCATTCATTTATTTATTTATTTTACACTGTCTCAAAATTAGTCATAATGACTATTTATCTGTTGATAGCATTAATATATCATCCAAAAACCAAAAAACAGCTTAAAGTCTTAAAGGTTCATTATGTATCCATTAACATGGCTAATTGGTGAATTGTTAAAGGCCTTTCATATCCTTCATTACGAGTTGGAAAAAACCTGTAAAAAAAGGTCCCTGAAAGACTATCTTAAAATCTTTGCTGTGACATTCCCCTAAAACTGATTTGATTGTGTAAACTAGAGTCTAAAGGTACAACTGAAGTAGTTGGTGAAAACTAACCACACAAATTAAATATTCCCTGTTCCTTTACCAGGAATGTAGCACTACATTTTTTTTTTTATTGTCAATTTCCATTTAGTGGAGCATTTCCATTTCATATTAACCTTTCACAAATACTGGAGCGATATTAACGTCTGTGGAGAAGAAGCATAAAAGGCCATATGTCTATACATTTTCAAGACAAGAGTTTTGTGCTATAGGCATAGCTATAAAATACAAAAATCTATATATTCAAACAATATATAACTTGAGTGACATTTTTCAATCATAGCAGAGGAACTATCAACTGGACAGTCGTTTTTTTTGTGGTGTACATTTAAATGGTTTAATGCAATTAAAATAATTTTTTTATAGTAGTATAAAAATTTATTAATTTTAGTAATTATGAATAATAATATTTTTACCAAAACATTTTAAAGCGTGTAAAAATACACTTTTGAGTTGTTGTTCAAGTGATATATTGAAGTGGACAGTTTTCAGATAGTATAAAATATTATGTTTATATTCATGATCTCAGTAAGTACTGCTCAAGCAGTTTTCCTGCTTATAATTTTTCTGACTCATTTTTTTTTTTT